GTTAGTTTGCAAAAGGAATTTTCGCTCAAATAGAGATTTAAGAAAATATTTACATTATTCGGACTATTGTCCTCATCTTTGTCGCCATATTTATTACAAAGTTTCGGCCTTTCAGTATCTATCTATATATATATATATATATGTGTGTGTGTGTTTTGTATGTGTGTGTGTGTGTGTATTATGAAATGAACTAAATCCGACAATTATTTTAATATATTTTCTAATTATACGTTATTTTCATAGATACAAATATTTAAGTAAATGCTTTTTTTAAAATAAACAGTATTAACAACATTTACCGACCTGAATGTCAGAAAAATCTCAAATGAAATATGTGACCTTTGACAGTATCTGTCTGTATTTCTGAGATGAGGTATTATGTACACTATTTACATTATTCGGACTATTGTCCTCATCTTTGTCGCCATATTTATTACAAAGTTTCATTTCAGTATCTGTCTGTATTTCTGAGATGAGGTATTATGTGTCCTATTTACATTATTCGGACTATTGTCCTCATCTTTGTTGTCATATTTATTACAAAGTTTCGGCCTTTCAGTATCTGTCTATATTTCTGAGATGAGGTATTATATACACTATTTACATTATTCGGACTATTGTCCTCATCTTTGTCGCCATATTGTAGGCTCCGGCCTTCTTTAGGTGGTTGGAATGTCGAACTGAAGCCTTTATTTAGCTCACTCGGGTAGACAGTTCTAGTTCCACGTGCCATGTCTAATGGATGTCAGTTATCAGATATCTCCTGCTTAATTCCCTCTCCATATTCTCCACCACCTTAACCAGGTATTGAACTCACACTCTTTGAGAACTTCGAGAGGGAATTAACAGAAGAGAAGAGGATAACTGACATCCATGGACATGGCACGTGGAGAACATTCTACCCAAAGTGAAAGATAAAGGTTTCAGTTCGACATTCCAACATCTGAAGAAGGCCGAAGCATAGAACGGTCGAAACGTAATAAATATGGTGACAAGATGAGGACAATATCGAATAAAAAGTAGTATACATAATACCTCATCTCAGAAATATAGACAGATACTGAAAGGCCGAAACGTTGTAATAAATATGGCGACAAAGATGAGGACAATAGTCCGAATAATATAAATAGTGTACATAATACCTCATCTCATAAATATGGACAGATACTGAAGAAAATATTTGTTTCGTAATAATGATTTTCTAAGCGCAGATTGGATGCTGCACAAAGCCGAAAATATCGGAAACCCAGGAAGGGTCGAAATCATTATTCAGTCGTAATTGATCTTGCGAGAGAAGCTTGTTAACCATCAAACTTTATCGAAGTGCCCTACTTGTTTTGTAATGAGTAAACACAGTATAAGTATTCTTAACTGCGTTTGAAAAATTAAAAAAAAAATAACTGGCTGACACATGACAAAACCCATGTTAAAAGAGAAATATTTTTTTTTCCGTTAAAAAAATTCTTTGAATAATTTAAAATCAAGACAGGCGGCATTAAGTGCAGATTCACAACATCAAAATATTTGAAAGAAATTTTTAAACCAAGATTTCAGTTCTTAAAGTTTTGCAAAATTCAGTTAAAATCATTCAGAGATTTTTTTTCTTCATTTATTTTACTGTCTAAAATCGCACCAACTTCAGTAATGCCGAAGGACATCTCGTCGTGATGTTATGGTTAACGAGCATGACGGTTACATCATTACACTTTAGTTCGCTGGATGTTCCATAATTTTAGCGTTGCGCAAATCTATTCTTAGCATAAAGGCGTCTCAGCCTGTGTAATGGTTAACGAGCTAGTCTGGTTAACTATTATTTCTTAATAAAGTGTCTGAGGAATCTTATAACTTTGGCCTTAGGCTAAACTAGGCTTAGTATTTTTCAGTGGTCTCATGGTGCGAAATGATTAACGAGCTAGTCTAATTAACTATTACTACTGATTAATGAGTTCGTTCCTCACTGGGTGCCCTGTATTTGTAGCCTTGTGATAAGCTTGATATTTTAAAAGTGTCTCAGAAGGAGTAACGGTTAACGAGCCAGTCTGGTTAACTATTACCAGTGGATAATGGGTTAGGTCCTCACACCCTGTATTTGTGGTTTTGTAATAAGCTTAGTATTTCAAAAGTCTCTCAACGGGAGTAACGGTTAACGAGCTAGTCTGGTCACCTATTACTACGGAGTAATGAGTTTGATTCTAATTAATGGTGAGAGGGGGCATATATTTGTGGTCTTGTGGCAAACTAAGCTAAGCTTTATAAATAACAGGTGGCCTCAGGTATAGGGTAACGGTTAACGAGCTAGTCTAGTTAACTATTACTACTTAGTAATAAGTTAGACCCTCACTGTGTGCCCTTACTTGTGCCAGATTAAGACTATTAAAAAGATACAACTTGAGGGATTTCGAAAGACATGGAACATGGATAACAGTTTTCGCAATAGATCTTTTGAGGATAATTTGATGAGAAAGACATCTGAAGAAGGCCGGGAAACATACCGACCGAAACGTAGCCCAAATCAATAACTATATAAACGTAATCTGAAATATTTGTCACGCGATAACGTCAATATCCTATCAGAAAACTTCAGACATTAAAAGGCCAATATTGCAAAAAAAACTTCAATATCTCATTTCAAAACTTCAGACACAATATTTTAAAAGGCCCACATTGCAAAAGAACTAAGGCGTTTATTTTGAGTTACGGATTGAAAAAAATAATTTCCTATGAATTTATTTTTGTAATGTTTATCGTATTTCGTCGCAAGTTAAATTTAATTGTGACCCAGCCGTGTACCGAACGTTTGCGCCGCCGGGACAGTCGTAGAATTTATCGCTACTTTAAACAAGATAGCAAAATTGGGCAACATATCTACAATGCATAAAGAAAGATTACAATTACGACCATTTACTTTGTTTTGATTGCAGGCAAAAAAATAAAATAAAACAAGGAACGAAAAAAAAAAAAGAAAATAAGATAGAAAGACATTCTTTTTTAAATTAGAAAAAAAAATCATTTTTTATTAAATAGATTTTTCAAGATAAAATGTTAGTACTTTAAAAATTAGATACAGTTTAACCCGCATATAAGAGACCCGGATATAAGAGAAACCCGGATATAAGAGAGATTTTCTCTGGTCCCAAATTAGAGCCTGTGTTACCTAAACAAAATAGACCAAACCCGGATATAAGAGAAACCCGGATATAAGAGACTTCTTCTCCGGTCCCGGCAACTCTCTTATATCCGGGTTACACTGTACCGCGAAAAAGATATAATATTAACTAATACTGTAACCCTCAAATGAGCTTCCCAACGTCTTCTTTCATGCGCCGTGTCTCTTTAGGACGTGGGCGATCATGGCTCTCCACAATTTCCTATCCTTTGTAGCGCTTAGTAAATTTAATCTTTTCGCTATTTCCCTTAATCCTTGTAGTACCAACCATTTACACAAATTCATTCTTTTTCTATGAGCAGGTTTTCTTTAGGACATAGACGATAATAGCTCTCCACAGCTTCCTGTCCTTTATACAAATTGTCCTATTACTATATCCCTTATCTCGTAACAACTTACAAAATCTCGTTAGGAATATTATTCGCTGTTTTCCTTTCTTCTTTTTAACCTTCAATTTGCCCTGCGTATGTTAAATTTTCTAAACCTTCTTTACTCATATTCACTAAAAATTTCAGCGTCTCTTTCTCATGCTACGAATAAGAGTCATTTTTCTCTCCATTTTCTATACAACTTCGTCGTTGCTCACAGATTTAGTCTATGGCATTCTCAGCATGCTTCTGTAGAACCAGTGTTTCGGGATTTTTTAATCATACTGTGTTTTTAGGTAAAAATGGTATTATTAGAATGATAGGAAAAATGGCTGAACTAATTTTGCATGCTGCCTCATTCTATTAATTCACTTAAATACCGCTGCAGAAAGCTTACCCCCCCGGGGCGGACCGACCTTCCCGCATTACATCTAGGTCCTCCAATGTTGTAACCCATTGAACCGACTTAATGTCTTTGATGCGCCGATAACCAATCCCTTCAACTGTGTAAGGAATTAATTATATTTGAATATCAAGGAATTGGACGAGATTCTTAAATAAGTACCATCCATTCGTTTTTAAAAACAACGCGAGATATGTGGAGAATAACACCCATGACATGTAACATTCATCGTAATCGTTGTCATTCGGAAGAATGAAGAACAGTGAAATTTTAGATATAAATATTATTTGTGTCTCGTGTATAAAAACCAGAGATCTTGCGTCCTGGGTAAGACGATAAATTGCATCCGGCAGCAAGGCCTCTGTTCAGGAGGTTTTGAGAAGTGTTGAACCACCTGTTAATTGCTGGTTTTCCCAGGTCCAGTCTGACCCGGGATGGTAGCACCTGTTAGGGTCCCAGCTATGGACAAATAAATGACCGTCTCAAAACACTATGAAAGTGTAAAAATAGGTTTAAATACCAGCTATAAATTTTCGAAAAGAATATTACCAGCCATACATTTTTGAAGAAAAAAGATATTAGTAGCAATAAATTTTTTGGAAAATGAAAATCTTGTCTGCAGTAAATATTCCATTGAGATTGATAAGACGTAAAACAAACCAAACCCAAACCAGAGATCTTTATCTAAAAAAACAAACAAACAAAAAAAAACATAAACGTTTATATGTTGAAATATACTTATACAACCCTAGTTGCGTACTTCCATAATTATTTTGTCCAACAGGGTAGACCGAGATTGATTTGTTTTTACGGATTATCAACCCATTGCAGGTTATTTAAAGTCGGGAAATATTTTTAAACTGTAAACTTGATATTTTTTGTTTTCTTAGATAATAATGATTTACTGATGCAAGACATAACTGTTGGTAGGGAGAGGTGGATTCATGCCTTTCCCAAGGGTAATTGCGCGTAAGTGAATATAATGAACCCAACGGGAATTCGAACTCGGCTCTCCGATTTCCAATTCCGAGCCGTTAGCCATCACACCATCCGCACATCCAAGCTTACATCACCTGATATTCCCATGAGGTTACCCATTTAAGTACTTAACAGGTTCTACGGTGCTTAACTTGGGTGATCTTACGGGAACCAGCGTTTCAACTATATATGGGGAGGGCCTAGATGTATAGTAAAACGATTTTTTAATTTTTTTTGCACGGAGAAAATCTTAAGAGATTATTTTGTTTAATAGGATTCAAAGAGTCAAAATTTTATCAGTTTTTGATATCAAATCGCCATGGATTTAAATCCTGTTTAATATTATTGGTTCTTGAATTTGTATTAAATGGAAAAAAAAACCCTTTATTGATATTGATTTTCTTGATAGAAAACAATATTTTTCAAACGTGGAAAGCTTAGAACTTTGTTCCCGAAAAAAAAAAAAAAAAAATACGGAGTATCAAAATACAATTTTTTCCTTTGACATTGCTGTTATTTTATCTATCGTCCAATGTTTATTGTTTTAAAAAGCGATGTTTAGAATTGTAATAAACCCAAAAAGTGAATTCATACATTCTTCTTGTTCTTGAGAATTTACAGCAAAAATAATAAACATTATTTATTTATTAGATTGTTTATTTGCAAAAATAATTTTATATTTGTAACATTCTAAAAACTGATCCAATTAAAACTAATAAAATACAATATTTATCATTTACCAATTTATAAAGAAATAAATAACTACGCAAAGTATTTTATTTATAGATTTATAAACATTTACTAAATTATTAAAATATGTGAACCAACTATAATGAAGTCTTTATTATTTACCATTTTATGAATTTCAAATCAATCGGCAATTAGCCGATGTTTTGCCAACCATTCCAATAAACAATATAATCAATAGTGTAAATAAACAACAGTGTTTATTATTTTTGTTGTCAATTCTCAAAAACAAAGAAAATGTATAAATTCACTTTCATAAACTTAGATTTTATTACAATTCTAATCACCGCTTTTCAAAAGATTGCCGATGATGGAAGATAGTTAAAAAAAATAGCTGCATCAAAAATAAGCCTGCCTTTTGACACTTCGTTTTTTGCTGCTTTTATTCATGCCGGTGAGAAAGCCCAAAGGTTTGATTTAAATGTCATAATGTAAGTTTTAATGCGCGAGAAATAAAAATATTGTGTTTGGAGAGGAAGGTTGAACAGATATAACAGCGCCAGCGACCTAACACAGTGAATCGTCCTGGGTAAGACGATAAACTACGTCCAGCAGCAAGGCCTCTGATCAGGAGGTTTTGTGGAGCGTGGAACCTCCTCTTAATTGCTATTGTTCCCACGTCCACTCTGACCCGGTGTGGTAGCACCTGCCAGGGTCCCAACTATGGGCAAATAGTTAACTATTACCAGCAATACTTTTTTGAAAAAATTATTACCAGCAATACAATTTTGAAGAAAATATATTACCAGAAACAGATTTTTGACAAAACAAAATATTACCAGCAATAATTTTTTTGTCGGCATTAAATAACCCATTGAGGTTGATATCCCGTAAAACAAAATAAACCAAACCAATTTAAACCAAAGAATACATATTCTATTCATACGAATCTATCCTAAAAATGTTGTCGTCATTAAATAACCCATTGAGGTTGATATGCCGTTAAAGAAAATAAACCAAATCAAACTAATACAGTGAAATATTTGTAGGCGAATAACATTGATTTTAAAAATCTACAAAAATATCGGCTCATTGCCGGATTAGAATACATTTTTTCGTCCCTACTCATTTATAGAAAGGGTAATTATTTATATTGTTCGGATTGTTGTCCTCATCTTTATTGCAGTATTCAAGACGTTTCGGCCGTTATATGCTTCGGCCTTCATCAGTTGATTGGAATTTTGAACTTAGCTCTTTATTTCGTCCACCGAGTAGATTGTTCTAGTTCCACGTGTCATACCTCTTCCGGGTGTCTAAGTTATTTCCCATTATCTCCAGTTTTTTCTAACCACATCAGTAACCAGGTATTGAACTCACAACTCTTTGGGTCTGAACAACGCTTTTATCCACTATATTGTAATTATTTACAATAATTACAATACCTCAACTCAGAAATATAGATAAATATAAAAAAAACGTATTTTCTAAAAAAATATTGAGAAAATCATAATAATTCTTAAGTCAATATAACATTCATTTTAATATTTTGTCAGTAAAGTATTGTCGATACAAATAAAATGCTTATATTTGTATGAAGACGAGTCATCGATATTAAATCAATCAAAATTTTATTCGAAATTTGAATATAAATGTCTGCTCTGAATCAGGATTTAAAAACTGTAACAAAAGTAAAATATATTATTTGTAATCTTTTTAGTTGTTTGAGTGAATTTTATCAGGAAAGACGTATTGGAAAATTGGCTCTCACCGGACAGATTGAAAGTAAAATGGACGGGGCAAAACCTAACAAGCTTGTGTTGGCGGAGCGAAGTTTAAGAGAGATAATAAAAAGACAATATTTACTACTACAAAGGAAAGGAAATTATGGAGAGTCATGAACGTCAACGTTCTGAACCGACACGTCACATAAAATAAGAAGTTTGATCTTTTTATGGCTTATAGCTTTATGTGTTATGTAATGCCGAAAGATATTTTAGAAGTGTAAGAATATTTCCTTTTTTTTTTCTTGCGAGTGAATATTTCATTAATAATTTTTTGAGTGTAACAATGATCATTTTTTTTTTACACGAAGGCGAATCTAACGGACTCGACTGGAATTCGAAGTCGCTACTCTGGTTTCTCAATCCGGACTACTGTCTATTATACCAATACAGATTTTACATCAGCTTCACATCTGAATTTTACCTAAACTTTAAAATTCCATGAGTGTTTAGCCCAAATGTTAACTGATTCATCAATAAAAAATAATAAAAATTGAAAATATACAACTTTTACGGACAGAAAACTGCAAGAAAACCGATATGAACATATCATCCAGATCCGTTTACAGAGTTAGGACATGTAACGATTTTATGGGACTTTAAAATAAACACAGACAGAAAAATCAAATCTCATCGCTCAGATCTCGTGATCAAAGACCACAAGAACAGAACGTGCTTTCTTATTGATGTGGCAGTCCCTTCAGACTGTAATGTATGTTCTTCAAAAAACTATAAAAACAATAATCTTGAAGTGGAAACCTAAAAAATGTGACACACGAGGACATCAATAATTCCAGTTATAGATGGAGCACTCGGATTGATTGGAAAAAGGTTCCGATAGACTAATTGAAGGGATTCCTGGTAGCGCATGCCTTAAAGAAATACAAAAAACTTGTACTCACAAGTAAAGCTCACATATTACAAAGAGCCTTATTTATGTAAAATATGTGTGATCTTAGGAGTTTTCAGGGTCTGGTAGCCCTCGTGTAAATAATGTAGACAAATATGTTCCTTAATTTAAAAACTGATTAGATGACTGAATATAAAACCCGACATGACAGAGTGGGCCAATATCTGCACTGGAAAATCTGCAACTTCTACGGGAAGGAAACTGAAAGAAACTGGTATGAACACCACCCAGACCCGGTTACGGAGATAGGACCTGTTACAATTCTATGGGACTACACAATACACACTGAGAGAACAATCAAGGCCAACCGGCCAGATATTGTTATTAAAGACCACAAACAAAAACGATGCCTCCTTATTGATATGGCAGTCCCTGCTAACTGCAATGTATCTTTGAAGATATTCAAAAAGTTGTCAAAGTACAAGGACCTTGAAATAGAAATCTCGAAAATGTGGCATATGGGAACATCAACAATCCGTGTTGTAGTTGGAGCCCTAGGACTGGTTGGAAAAGATTGCAGTAGACTAATTGAAGGGATTCCTGGAAGTCCATTCCTCAAGGAGATACAAAAAAATTGTTCTGACAAGTACAGCCCACACCTTACGAAGCTTTATCTATGTAATTTTTTTTTTTTTTGTCAGTGGAAAGTGTCATGATGCCATTTCTAACCTTAGGTCCCTGGGCGTGACCCGGAAAGAAATGTGTAAACGCCAGAAATCAAAGAAAATAAAAATAATAATAATAATAATAATAACAACAATAATTATGGCTCACATTACGAAGAGTGTTATCTAGGTAAAATGTGTGTTTTTTGTGTGTTTTTTTTTGTGTTTTTTTTTTTTTTTTTGTTTTTGTTTTTTTTTTTTTGTCTTTTGGGGTTTACTTTTTACAAAAGTATGATCAGTGGAAAATGCTATGTATCCATTTCTAGCGTTAGGTCTCTGGTTGGGACCCGGTAGAAAATGTGTATGCAACAGAAATGAAAAGAAACAATAATAATAATAAACTATTCATATTGACAGAAAAAAAATTACGGTAATAGATGAGATATTGCTATTAAAAACAACAAATTAGAAAAATGCCCTCGCGTAGATATGACAGTCCCATCAGATAAAAATATATATATTAATGAATATGTCAAAATAATTAACGATAAAGATCTTGAAATTGAAACCAAAAAAAAAAAAAAGACTGTGATACCTTAAAACTACTGTCGTGCCTGTAATAACTGAATCACTCGGTACAATCAAGAAAAATATAGGTATGAATATTAACTACTGGTAGCTCGTACTTAAAAGAGATGCAAAAAAATGCAATTTAGGGAACTGATCCTTTACTCAAGAAAGTGTTACCAATAATAAAAAAATATAAAGCAGAACACGCTATGTATCACTTAACATCAGAATTGCATGCAAGCAGAATACATATCGTCAAGTCGGGTAATTTTAATAAGGAGAGTTAAATGATATTTAATTCAAAAACTTCTTTTAAAATATATTTTTTGAAAAGTTTATTTTTTATTAAAACAAAAATGATTTTTCGAACTTTTCGTAATTTTTATTGAATGTTTACTGGCTTAGGTGGGTTTTCGCATAAAATATTTACATTTGAATAAAAAAAATATGTTAATTTCCGAAAAGGTTTTGATTTTTTAAAAAAACAACACAAAAACATCTAAAATATTAGATTAAGTATTTGTTTAATGATATCGATTGATTTGAATGATTGAAATTGGGATTTGATTAGACACTTAAGGCAATAGCTTAAAAACCTTTTCCCAATCATCATATCAATCCCATCCATTA